TCATCTTTTTGCATAGAGGATGTTTAGAAACATAAAAAGACCCAACATCAGTAAAGAAAGGAAATACCAGAAGTTCTCTCGTAATTAAATTGCTACTTGCCTTTAATTGTTTTGTAATTTTCTTATGAAAAAAATGTTAATTCCACAACCAAAATATATTTTAGACAACAAAAGCTAATTATTTGCTTAAAGTGTATGCCTAATGCTATTTTAAAGAAGCAATCCAAACTCACCATAAAAAAGCCATGCTAAATTCAGTGGCTTGTCTCAATAAACATATCGACAACTATGTGCAAATTCTCTCCTACATATCTTGCTCTATGACTTTACTCTTACATATGCTATAAAAGTAAAACATTTCTCAAACTAACGTTTAGATAGTTCACATTGCATTTCAGTTAGAAAGAAATATATATTTAGCTTTCACTTGTTAATGTTGTTTAATTCAACTAAAATAATTCCAGATTGTTTATGCCTTTATTCATTTACAGACACAGTCTCTATCCTATGTTTCATTCTCCGGAAAAAAGGAAATTAATCTTCTATGTGGTTAATACTAAAATATACCAAGTACAGCTGCAAATCATTTCAGTGAGAAATGAATTAGCTATATTTATACAAATTCATCATATTTTTAAAATCAGAAAAAAACTATAGTAATAAAATGAAACATGTATAAGTAAGGGAATATATTCAGAAAGTTGTACACTTTAAAAAAATCAACTGAATTTTCTGATTTGGGGCTATAAGAATGATGCATTCAAAGTGGTCAATCTATAAAATACTAAAGCTCTTATGTCTGTAACCTTTAACTGGCTGTATCATAAGGCAGTACTTTTTAAACTATGGCTAACTTCACATAATGTCTCCAACATCTGGACTCGTGACTCCTGAGGGATTAAATTTGGCAAATTGGTGATCATTTCAATGCTGTAGCACTGCCACTCAGGGGTTCTGTACACCGGTTCCACCTTAGCATTCCAGAGGCTAGGTAGACCAGTCCTGTTGGCTACTGGCGAACAGTCAACTATGGTGAAGCAAACAGGAACTTGGAACTTACTCCCATTCCCACTGGTCATTCTGTTTCTGTTTAGATAAGGAAATATCTATGAAACAATGATCCTGCAAATCACAGATTGTCTAGTAACTCCTTAATATTATGACATTTCAAATATATGAAAATGATATAATTTATCTTACAGTTTTATGTTGATATAGATATATAAGAAATATAACTACATACTCCCGTTCGTCTAATTCTGAATGTAAGGAAATATAATAAGAAAAATGAATTTTTCCAAGATAAATTGTAGGAGATAAAATGCCAGGAATAACTAATTCCGCAACTTGATACCATTCATTAATCCCTGTAGGAAGATTCTGCTAAATTACTGGATTTGAATACAAAACAAATGAGATGCATTGATCATCGTATACAGTTTTTGAATGGCAAACTGCACCACAAACTTCAAAACATAGAGACATATCAAAGCATATCTGCTTCCTTGTCCATGTATCAGGTTGGGAAGTACACACTGGATATCTTTGCATTAAAGCAAGAAGTACTTTCCCCATCCTTATTTAAAAGGACCTTTAAAGATAAGAAACACAGCCATAGTACATACTGATCATGCCATACTGAATATAATACACTGACAGCATGAGTTAAGAAGGAGGGATGTCAGATTTTAGAATCTTAACAATCAGGTTTAACAATTCTTTTGGAAGTGACAGACTAAAGCATTCCGCAACAATCTTAGATAGAGAGGAAATTATTCTGCCTTTGGTTCCAACTGAATGCCACATATGCCACTGTCAGAGGGCCAAAAAGACACCTGGTTATACAGGCAAAAAATGCCAGAAAGATAATATCAGACAGATGAACTAGTGGTACATCCAACTCAATAGTCACTACATTGAAACTGACTGAAATGGCAGACTTTCTTTTACAACCCCCCACTTTTCTCCCAATTAGTTCTGAAAGAACATTTATACATTGTAAAAGCTATAATTTAAACAAATTTTTAGAGTATTTTTCTTAGCTTAATATTAAGTATCACAGAACAATTTGGTTATTTTCTATTAACAAATAACTCGCTTATGTTCTAAGAACAGCAGTTTTTAGCAGATGTAACTCTCTATTCTGAACCAACAAATATTTCTTTCCTTGGCAGATAAAATCTAATTGGATCAACAGAGTTTATCAATCTCTAGTTTACTAATATTGCTAAAATTCATGCTATTTGGCTATTTCTTGTTTCCATTGACCATCATGTACAATCTTATATGTTGTCTATTTCTAATTAAGTTTTACTTGTTCAGGAAATTAAAACTAAAATACAGATAAATTTAGCCAGCAAGCAACATTAATGGACAGCCATATGGTGTTTGGGGGAGGGGATTCTCATTTTCTTTTAATTTCCTGAACTCCATTGCATATCTACTTCGTTAGTCTCCCAGCACAAAGCATGGGTATTCTCCCTGCTTCTACCAGTGAATTAATTCTAGAACACAAATTTCAATTTTTAATGCATAATAAAAATCAAATATTTTTCTCTAGAAAATGAGATATTCACATGAAAAGTCTTTCCCCTGATACTTTGTTTTATTATTACAGTTACTCCTTTACTATGAAGAATCACAAGGGTTCCTGGTAGAAGATATGATTAAAAATTAGATCTTATATATAATCTGAGCCACATCTCAATACATAAACCAAAAACATATCTACAGAGGTAATCTAGTTTTGGCTTGTTTCAATTTTTTAGCAGCATGATTCCATGTACACTTTGGCAGACATAAAATACATTAAGTTTAATGTAATTTAGAATTTGATTGATTTGTTCAATATCTGCTTTAAATGGAAGTTGTTAAGTATGAATTGTTTCACAAATACTCATCAGTTTACTACAGCGGGTATATACCGGGTTAGGTGGAGATTTCCAGTAGAGGTCACCATTGCTTTAACAACAAAGTAGACAAGGACATTACATTTATGTTTTTTTTTTAAAAAAAAGAAAACATGGTATGGGAAGGTTATATTTCCCAAGATTGGGCTAACATTATATGATCAAGGCTGTTTTTCATTCTTTCTCTACATGTAAGCTTTTGATTGCTAAACAAAAACGTTTAGTGATTACAATATGGCCACAAGGCAACAAAATTAAATGATTTAGTTGTAACAAATGCACCTCTTTTCTAGGACTTGTAAAATTGTATATTAGACTCAGAAGACAATCTTTAAATATACTTAATTTCAAGTGAAATCTAAACAATAGTACTAATATGTATTCAGATCCACATATGAGTTTAATTTCGGTTATAATGTAATCATGCATTTTTTATTCATACAGAAGCTATACTGTCTAAGAGATTAAAGCAAATAAAATGAATGGCTTTTTTTTCAAGTTAGAGTTGCTACTTGTAGTTGTATAATAACTTGGTGAAAGCACAACATAGTAGAAGCACCAAAATTTGTGCTGTCCCTTTAGGGCAAGTTCTCTGCATTTCTCAGGTTTTGAACAATTATTATAGTCCTTTGAAAAGGACTGTAATGCTCAACAATGTTTCCAGATGTTCCCCAGATCTTTTAGCAATGATTTAAACATCTAACATTAAGACCAGATCCAAATAACTTGCCTTTTGCTCATTATCATCCCTCTGTCAT